AGACCTGTGGTACATGTGGGACCTGTGGGACGACCTGCGGGACCTGTGGAGAGGAGGAAAGAGGAGAGGGAGGAGGAGGAGGAGGAGGAGGAGGAGGAGGAGGAGGAGGAGGAGGAGGAGGAGGAGGAGGAGGAGGAGGAGGAGGAGGAGGAGGAGGAGAGAGGAGTGGAGATAGAAGAAGAAGGAAATGAGGAGAGAGGAGGGACCTGCGACACCTGTGGGACCCAGGGGACATGCGGGACCTGCCGGACCTGTGGGACCTGTGGAGCCTGCTGCACCCGTGGAACCTGTCAGACCCTGTCAGACCTATGGTGCACGGGGGGCCTGTGGGACGACCGGCGGGACCTGTGGGTTGTGTGAGACCTGTGGGACCTGTGGGGCCTGCGAGACCTGCGGGAACTGCGGGACCTGCGGGACCTGCGAGGCCGATGGGATCCAGAAAAGTCGCCCGCGCTGGAGCTGAACACGGGAGCAAAGCGCTGATCCGATAATTGGAGAGAGCGTGATCCACAGCCGCTTTATTATGGAAAATTACAAACTTTTTCCTCCGGAACCCGGGGGTCCCCCCCCCCCTCCGAAAATCCCCCCGAAAATCCCGCCCCCCCTGCTGCACCCCCCCCCCCCCCTCTCCCCCGGCAAAACCCCCCCTCCCCTAACCCCTCCCCCCCCCCTCCCCTCGAAAACGAAAGCCGGGGGGGTCACCTACCGGTTCGAGACCCCCCCCCCCCTCGAAAACCGAGGGGGGTCACTACCGGTTCGAACCCCTCCCCACCCCCCCTCTCACCGCCAGAAACGACTCCTGGTCCCTACTACCGTCCTCACCACATCCCCCACTGTTGTTCCCAGCACCACTGTTCTCACCACCACTGTCCCCACTGGTTCCACCACCGCCCCTACTGTCCCCACCAGTGCCACCACCACTGTCGCACTGTCCCCACTGTCCCCAACCACTGTTCCCACCACGGTTCCACTCTCCCAACTTTCTCCACGGCCCAAACCACTGCCCGACTATCCCCACTGTCCCCACTGTCCCACAGACTCCTCCGCTGTCCCACTGAGCTGTCCCACTGTTCCCACCACTGTCCCCACCACTGTCCCACTGTACCTCTGTCCCATTGTCCCACCGCCGTCCTCGCCACCGCCTTCACCACTGTACCCTCCACTGTCCTACCACATTCCCACTGTCCCCACCACCACCGTCCCCATCACTGTCCCACTGTCCCCACTGTTCCCACCATTGTCCTCACTAGTGTCCCCACCACTACCGTCCCCACCACTGTCCCACTGTCCCTACCACTGTCCCGCTGTCCCCTCACCCCCGTCCCCACCACCACCGTCCCCACCACTGTCCGCACCCCCCCTCGGTTTTCGAGGGGGGGGGGTTCGAACCGGTAGTGACCCCCCCCGGTTTTCGAGTTCGAGGGGGGCGGGGGGGGGTTCGAACCGGTAGTGACCCCCCCCTCCTTTTCATGATTCATGATGAGCTGGGAGGGGGGGGGAGGGGTTCGAACCGGTAGTGAGCCCCCCCGGTTTTCCGAAAGGGGGGGGGGGGAGGGGTTCGAACCGGTAGTGGCACCCCCCCGGTTTTCCGCCAGCAGCGGTAGAACACGCTCTTTCGATAATTGAGCAAGCGCTGCAGCGGGAGCACCATTCTGAAGGACCGAAAGCAATCACATTGCAGAACAACATTTGGAAAATCAACGTTTGAGATCCTGTACATAAACAACACTACGCGGAGAGGGCTAGATCTCTTCTGGACAAAGTCAGGCGAGAGAGAGAGAGAGAAAGAGAGAGAGAGAGAGAAGCGTAGAATGTGAAATTGTAAACAGGAGGGGGGAGATAGGAGGGACGAGAGAGGGAGAGGCAAGCTATGTGCGCTGGCACCACATCTGACATCAAATCCCTCCCTCCCATCCGTTCCCAGTGCGAAAATGTCTCTATCCGCGACTGCGTGTTAGAGCCGACCTGCCAGCAAAGCACCCTAATAGCAGCAAGGGTGACCTGTGGGACCTGTGGGGCAGGTGGGAGCTGTGGGACCTGTGCGATCTGAAGGACCCGTGGAACCTGTGGGACTTCTGTGGCCTGTGGGACCTGCCCTGCGGGACCTGTGGGGCAGGTGGGAGCTGTGGGACCTGTGGGGCTTGCGAGACTCGCTTGGAACTGTCCGGCCCGGGGGACCTCCGTGGCCTGCCGGGGCCTGTGACTGTGAGACTTGCGACGCCTGTGGGACCTGTGAGGCCGGTGGGAACTGCGGGACCTCCGTGACCTGCAAGACCTGGGGGACCTGTGGGAGCCGTGGGCCCTGCCGGGCGTGGGGGTGGGGTGGGGGCATCCATGGGGCCTGTGAGACCTGCGACACCTGTGGGACCCGTGGGACGTGCGGGACCTGTGGGCGGCCTGCGGGACCTGTGGAGAGGAGGGCAAGGGAGAAGGAGGAGGAGGAGGAGGAGGAGGAGGAGGAGGTGGAGAGAGGAGGGTAGATAGGAGGAAGAGGGTAATGAGGAAAAAATGGGCAAGAGGATACGGAGAGAGGAAGAGAACGAGAAGGAGGAGAGCGGAGAGAGGACAGAGGCAAGCTAGGTGCGCTCGCGCCACATCTGACATCAGATCCCTCCCTCCCAGTCCTTCGCATTGCGCAGGTGTGTCTCTATCCGCGGACGCGTCTCATGGAAGAGCTGGAACTCCATTACCCCAGAAAAACACCATAATAGCAGCAAGGGTGACCTGTGGGACCTGCGGGGCAGGTGGGAACTGTGGGACTTGTGCGATTCGTGGGACCTGTGGAACCTGCGGGACTTCTGCGGCCTGTGGGAATTGTGGGACCCGCGGGACCTGTGGGACCTGTGGGACATGGGGGACACGCGGACCTGCGAGACCTGCGGGCTGTGCGGGACACGTGCGAGCTGGGCTACTGATGGGCCTGTGGGGCCTGTGGGAGCTGCGGCGCCTGTGAGGCTTGTCGGACCTGTGGGACCTGTGGGTCCCCCGTGGCATGCGAGACCCGTGGGACCTCTGAGCCCCGGTGGACCTGTGGGAGCTGTGGGACCTGGGGGGGCCTTGGGGACCTGCGCGGGACCCGCGAGACCTGCGACACCTCTGGGGCCTGTGGGACCTTTCGGACCTGTGGGGCCGGGGGGACCTGCGAGACATGCGACACCTGTGGGACCAGTGTCGGCCCGCGCTGGGGCGAGAGCGCCAATGTGAACGGCGGGAGGTGAGGCCCACGCTGCGGCGGGAGCACCATCTTGAACAACCGAAGACCATCGGAGTGTAAAGGAAAGCGCTGGGAACACCAACGTTTGAAACCTTGTGTGTGGACAAAGACTATGCGGAGGGGGCGGGACCATGATCCAGACAGCTGCAGGGGAGAGAGGAGAGTAGTACTCAGATTGAGCACTTGTGGACGAGGGAAGGAGGAAGAGGAGAGAGAAGGAGGAGGTGAAACCTGTGTAAACCCAAGACTCATCAACGAGATCGGAATACATACTCCTTCCGAATTCCCTTTTCATTGGCCCCTACAAACATTGTTTCTCAAGATGGAACGGCCCCCTTGGAAAACAACCGTTTGAGAATCGGAAGCTGCGCCAGAACACCATTCCTAGGCCTCTTCAACTCCGCGAATCATAATTACGACTGGGTCTTGAAGATGCTGAAACTTGCCAGAACACTAGTCCTGGGACTTCGGCACCGCGAATCGACGTGACTATTGCGCCCTGACAGTCAGAAATCGTGCCAAAACAGAATTTCTGGAGCATTAACCATGCAAATCCTTGAACCTGCTGCACACTCTGAGGACGAATACGCGCGGCGCTGCAGCGAACACCACGTTTTGAAAACGAACCGTCCTACAACCGCGGAACTCCTACATTCTTTATAGCGAATGCGCGCGGAGCTGAAGCGAGAGCTACATTTTGGAAACGGCCCGCCCTCAATTCGCGAAACCCTCGCAAAAGTACAAGACAAATGCGCTCGGCGCTGAAGCGAGAACCACCATTTCGAACACGATCCGCCCATCATCCGTGAAACTCTTGCAAATGTTTCAAATGATTGTGCGCGGCGTTCAGGCGAAAACCACATCTTGAAAGCGACATGTCCTCCATCCGTGAAACTCTTGCAAACTTCATAGTTCAGGATCAGACATGGCGAAGAGCTCTCAAGCGACAACGCCCGGCCCGCCCTTTCGACCCGCCTCGTGGAGCGACAGGGAGGAGTTGTTCATACCCAAACATCTGGCTGCTCCACTTTTTGTTCGATGCGCAGGCCCCGGAAGTCTGGACCACTTCCCTGGGGCTGGCTGTTCGTCCTGAGTCGTGTTCTCTCACGCTTCCAGGGGCCCAGCGAGGGCCCTGGAAGGCCGAAGCGAAGAACCGTCCGCTCCCATATGCTTCTGGAGCGTCGGAACTCTGGGCAAGGACGAGGGACTCGAGCAGTGGCGAAGCGTCCTGGCTTGCCTACAGGGCCACCACAGAATGTTCTAAGAGCCTCTCATGGTCTGAACGACATGCTCTCGAGAAACAGCTCGGGCTGAGACAGTCCTGCTTTGACACAGCAGGCCTCCGTTCTGTGAGAGAGCGCTCTTGTTCTTAAAACATGTCCGGGTTCTGAGAACATGCCGTGGTCTGAACGAAATGTTGTTGAGAAGCAGCTCTGGCTCAGACAGTCCTGCTTTGACGCATCGGGCCTCCGTTCTGAGAGTGCTCTTGTTCTTAGCACACGTCCGGGTTCTGAGAACATGCCGTGGCAGGCCTACGGGAAGGCCGGGACGGTCGGTCCCTGCTCCAGGGATGGAGGCGGAGGCGGAGGAGGAGGAGGAGGAGGAGGAGGAGGAGGAGGAGGAGGAGGAGGAGGAGGAGGAGGGGAAGGAGGAGGAGGAGGAGGAGGGAGGACGGAGAGGGGAGGAGGAGAAGGAGGAGGAGGAGGAGGAGGAGGAGGAGGAGGAGAAGGAGAAGGAGAAGGAGGAGGAGGAGGAGGGAGGAGGGAGGAGGGGGGAGGGAGGCGGCGCTCCTGCACGGCCCCGAAGAAGTCCCGCACCCGGTCCGGGCCGCCGCCCGGCCCCCCGGCGGCGCGGGGCACGGCGGGGACCTCCGCGGGGAAGGGGGCGGGGGGGGGGCCTCAGCGGAGGGCGGCATCGAGCGGCGGGCGTGTCTCCCCCGACGTGCTCGCGTCGAGAGAACGACAGCACGACGGAAGGTGCGTGGCAGTCTGCGGCCTCCGGGGGCCGTCGCCGGACCCTGGGGCGATCAAGCAAGGACCCCGCAGACCCCTAGGGCTAGGTCGGGCATGTCCCCCTACAGGCGGATTCTGCAAGACAAATGAAAAACATACAGGAAATATTCAAACACATACAAGAAAAACTCGAAACGACGTCCTGATACTATTTCTCTCATGTGGAGGGACATGCCCGACTTCACTTTGGGGGCCCTCGCCAGACCCTGATGGTTCTAGAGTTCTAGATCCCTAACCCCTAAGTGTCTAGGGCCACGCGAGGACGACCTCGAGCGGCGACCATGTTACGAGAACGGCACCCATGCACCGTACCATGTCTGGACTCCCTTCAGGCCCCGCTCGAACGCGGTACGGTGCATACTTGCTTCGGCTTTGGGAGCGGAAAGAGAATGCACCGTATCATTCCTGGGCGGACGATCGACGAAGCCTCGAGAGACGTCAATGCGGCACGGTGCAAACAATTCGTCCGCGGGCATGTCCATATCCGCCCCCTCGCGGTCTACATTCCTTGGAAGCAACTACTGGGAGGTCTTCGTATGAACGGTCACGGGCATGGAGCCCGATCATTGGGCCACTAGGCCGCAAAGGCCTAGATTAAGAAGATTAAGCCCAGGATCCACAATTAACCCGATGAAGCGGGACTACGCTGGATTATGCGGGGTTATGCCGGATGTGGCAAGTTTCTGACGACGGGTACACCAGCACCGATGCAGAACCTAACCTCCCAAGAGTCGCGTCCTAGCATGTCCACGCCCCCGCGGTCTGGACTCCAAGGCGCGATCCCCGTGGATACGAGATCGCGCGCCGATATATCTATGTGAACATGTGTATAAAGGTATGTCTACCTATACGACCACCCTGCGGGTGATAAGGTGAGGGGGGAGGGGGAACCAACGTCTCACTCAATCGATCTCGCTATCGATCTCACAATCGACCTCACAGTCGATCTCACTATCGATATCATTATCGATCTCGCTATCGATCACACTATCGATCTCACAATCAAACTCACAATCGATCTGACATTCGGTCTCACATTCGGCCTCACTGTCGATCTCATTATCGATCTCACAATCGATCTCACAGTCGATCTCACATTCGGTCTCACATTCGGTCTCACTATCGATCTCACTATCGATCTCACAATCGATCTCACAATCGGTCTCACATTCGGTTTCACATTCGGTCTAACTATCGATCTCACAATCGATCTCATTATCGATCTCACAGTCGATCTCACTATCGATATCACAATCGATCTCGCAGTCATCTCATTATCGATCTCACAGTCGATCTCATTATCGATATCACCATCATCACCATCATCATCTCACAATCGATCTGAATATCGATCTCACAATCGATCTCACTATCGATCTCACAATCGATCTCACATTCGGTCGCACTATCGATATCACAATCGATCTCACAATCGACGTCATCATCATCATCATCATCATCATCATCATCATCCTCATCATCATCATCATCAGCAGCAGCATCATCATCATCATCAACATCAACATCAACATCATCATCATCGCAAACATCAAGATCATCATCATCATCACCATCATCATCACCATCATCATCATCATCATCATCATAATCATCATCATAGTCATCATCAACATCATCATCGGGACACCGACGGGACACCGGCGGGACACCAGCGGGACACCGCGCCGCACCGGCCGCCCGGAAGAGAAACATTTGGTCCGGCCGCGCCTCAGCCACACGGGACACCAGCGGGACACCGGCGGGACACCGCGCAGCACCGGCCGCCCGGAAGAGAAACATTTGGTCCGGTAACTAGTCCGCAAGAACCCTTCTACAAGAAACACAACCCTGAGACCCCAGAACGTCCATTTACTTTTGGTGTGGGAACGTCGCGCTTTACATAGCAAAACAATCGAAACCCAAGAAACCCGGGGCACCCTGGAGGCAAGCAGGGTGGTTCTTGGCATGGGCGGCATGGGTCTCCGCTGCATTCCACGGGACCAGTTGTTCATCCTGACTTGCTTTTTGACGGTCCTGGGGCCTGGTATGACGGCCCCCAGAGTTAGGTCGGGCCTGTCCCCTTACAGGGGGATTTTGGGCGAAACATGTTTTAAGATAACCCCCAAAACATGCCTCAAATAATTTAAAAATCGTCCCCTGAGCATTGATTTATTATGTTTGAAGATTCCTTCTGTAGAGGGACAGGCCCGACTTAACCCCAAAGGCCGAAAACAGCGAAAAACCTCCCGCCGGGACTTTTTCACAGCGCGAGTGCGTCTGGGCTCGCGCCGTGCAGGCACCACAGGGCACGGCGGAGGCGCCCCTGCGCCGCTCTCGGCTTCCCCCTGAGCGGCCTCTTTCGGCCGCGTCCTCTTCCCGCTCCCCCTCTTGCATGGTGGCACAATTTGCCCTAACGGCACCCCCGATTAGGCCGTTCCGCTAGCGTCAGGTCGGGCATGTCCCTCTACAGGCAGACTTTGGATGAAACAATTAAGAAATAGTCGAAACATCGTCCCCATATTATTGTTGGAGTTGTTGTTTGAATGCTCCTCCCGTAGAGGGACAGGCCCAATTCATCAAGTCGGGCCTGTCCCTCTACAGGGGAAGCCTGCGCTAGCGCTCCAGTCACGCTAGCGCAGTCTTCCCGCCTCCTCCCCCTCCTCGTCCTCCTCCTCCTCCTCGTCCTCCTCCTCCTCCTCGTCCTCCTCATCCTCCTCCTCCTCTTCGTCCTCCTCCTCCTCGTCCTCGTGCACCTCCTCATCTTCTCCTCCTCCTCCTCCTCCTCCTCCTCCTCCTCCTCCTCCTCCTCCGCCTCCTCCTCCTGCTCCTCCTCGTCATCGTCCCTGCCTCGCCGCCGGCGCAAAACTGTCCCTGCCCCGCCGCCGGCGCAAAACTGCGCCGCCCGCGGCCTCTCCAGAGGCGGGGGGGGGGGGCTCGGAGCGGGCCCGCACGGGGGTCGAGGAGCGAGAGCGAATGGCCCTGGAGCGAGCGGAGACCACGCTGCAGCTCCAGCTCTCCCGCGCGTGCAGCCGTGGCGCCGACGGGGGCTCCCCGGGAGGAGCAGGGAGGACGAGGAGGAGGAGGAGGAGGAGGAGCAGGAGGAGCAGGAGGAGGAGGGTGGGAGGAGGGAGGAGGGAGGAGAATTTGGAGGACGAGGGAGGAGAATCTGGAGGTCGAGGAGGAGGAGGAGGAGGAGGGTGGCCTACCGCCCTTGTCGCACCTCGCCCTGCCCGGAAACAAAAAAAACATACAACAAGCACGGACTCTGGGGCGAGACCCAGGCCTGGACCCCCCCGCGAACTGCGACGACAATCACGACGGGAGGTCTTTCGCTACGTTCGGCATCCCGGCGGGGCCCTTCCCGGGCCTCGTCCTCCTCCTCGTCCTCCTCGTCCTCCTCCTCCTCCTCGGCGCAAAACTGTCCCTGCCTCGCCGCCGGCGCAAAACTGCGCCGCCCGCGGCCTCGCCAGAGGCGGGGGGGGGGGAGGTCTTTCGCTACGTTCGGCATCCCGGCGGGGCCCTTCCCGGGCCTCGGGGCCGTCAGCAAACGACGCAGAGCGAAAGACTAGCCTCGGGGAAGGGGCCCAGGCTTCACTTCTGAGGGGCACGCCATGCCAACACTACGACGTCGGGGGTCTGGGGACATCCGGCTGTTCTGATTTTTGTGCGATGCGTTGGCCCCAGAGGCCTGGACCGCTTCCCCTGATTAGAGGGCCGCTTTTCCGTCCCAAGCCGTGTTCTTTGCGTGCGCTCCCTGGTGGGCCCGGCGAGGGCCTCCATACGAGGGCCTCCATATGGGGGCCGACGACAGCCCAAAAGCCGCCCGCTCCAATCTTCAAGTCGGGCATGTCCCTCTGCAGGAGGAAAATTCAAGAATAGTGTCAAACAAATATTGAGACGATGTTCCTCTGTGTTTGACAAGTTTTGAAAACGTTTTGACTATATTATTCAAAATTGTCTTTCAATAGTCCGCCTGTAGGAAAACATGCCCGACCTAATCCAATCTGCTTTTGGAGCGCCGCGGACCTCTGAGGACGCCGGACGGCCACCTGGGGAACGGGTCTGCCTGGCTTCTGCGGGGGGGGGGGCGGGGCTGCCCGCGCCGCGGAACCAACACAAAACAAATGAACAAAAAGCACGGCGCCTGAAGGCCTTCGAGGGGAGCTCGGCCCGGGCCCCGGGGGCGCGCCCATGGATACTAGTCCGCAAGAAACCTTCCACAAGAAACCCAACCCTGAGACCCCAGGGCGTAAATTGATTGTTGGTGTGGGAAGGTCGCGCTCTCCTTCGCAAAACCATCGAAACCCAAGAAACCCAGGGCACCCCGGAGGCAAGCAGGGTGTTTCTTGGCACGGGTCTCCGCTGTATTCCCCGGGCCTCTCTCTGGACTCTCTCGCGCGCGGGCGAGCACGCTTCTAGGAGGTGCCCGTCGGGCGCGCTGGCTGCGGAGGGGCAGCGACAGGGAGGGGACATGGGCATATGGGGGGGGGGGGCCACGTCGACCTAGCATCGGCGATAACTCGCCGATACATCGGCGATACTGATAGGCCCCCGATGGTGAATCCGCACGCTCCTGGGCAGGCTCGGGCCATGTGGCCCCTATCGGCGATCAATAGGCGATTGGAGGTCGGTGCACACACACACACACACACCTTGCCTATCCTATCCCCCCTATGTCGTTATCCATGAGCTGCTGTTCCTTCAAGTGCTCGCTCCCGGCAGTGAACGCCCCCGACGCGGCGCAGAGGGAGCACGGGCCGATCGGGAGAGGCTCGCGGAGGCGCGCGAGGGAGGAAGGCGGCTGGAGCAGCTTGGGCCTGTGCCCGCCCCTGGCACTAGGCGGTGCAGATTGGAGGCCGTCGACGATTGCAGCGGGAGACATCATAATAGTACGCTCAACGGGTGGCCCAGCATGTGGCGGCGAGCACCCGTTTGGACGCCCGAAACAGGTACGGAAAAAATGGGCACAATGCCCAACAACAAATGTTGTCCCAAACCAGCAGCGGCCGCTGTTGGGCAGGCGGCCTTCCGCCTCAAATGGACACAGGCCGCGGCGGCGTGGACAGCGAATCCTGCTCGAAATGAGCAGAAACTGCTGTTGGTCTTTCCGTGCCCATTTCGGGCGTCCAGAACCCGGGAATGGCGGGACTCCCGCAGCAACTCCTGGCGCCCACTCGGCGCGCCAGCGAACCGCGAGGGGGGCGGGCGCGACTGCCGAGAGCGGCAGCCGAGCCTGATCGTCGAGCTCGGCTGCGGACGCTGCCGTCGCGCTGCCGCAGGGAGCGCCGAACATACTCCGAGCTTCTTAGTAAGCGTCGGGGCGGCGGCCCGGCGGCCTTCTTCAGAAGGCGAGAGGGGTTCCTTGGGAGGCGGAGGCCGTCTCGGAAGGGCCACGAGGCTTGGAAGGGTGCCCGCCCCGCCTTCCCAGACCCCCCCCCGCCTCCTCAAGGAAGGCCGCCCCCCTCGCGGAACTCCTCTCCCTCTCCCTCCCTCCCTCCTCCTCCTCTTCCTCCTCCTCCTCCTCCTCCTCCTCCTTCCTCCTCCTCCCTCCTCCTCCTCCTCCTCCTCCTCCTCTCCTCCTCCTCCTCCTCCTCCTCCTCCTCCTCCTCCTCCCTCCTCCTCTCCTCCCCTCCTCCTCCTCCTCCCTCCTCCTCCTCCTCCTCCTTCCTCCTCCTCCTCCCTCCCTCCTCCTCTCTCCTCCTCCTCCTCCCTCCTCCTCCTCCTCCTCCTCCTCCTATCCTCCTCCTCCTCCTCCTCCTCCTCCTCCTCCTCCTCCTCCTCCTCCCTCCTCCTCTCCTCCTCCTCCCCCTCCTCCTCCTCCTCCTCCCCCTCCTCCTCCTCCTCCTCCTCCTCCTCCTCCTCCTCCTCCTCCTCCTCCCTCTCCCTCCTCCCTCCTCCTCCTCCTCCTTCTCCTCCTCCTCCGCGAAAAAAGGGGCGGAAGCAACAACGATGACAGCAGGCGAGCCGTGCCATTCAGGCGGACGGTGCAGCCAAGCGCAAACGGGGGGCCATGACAATCTGGCGTGGGCGGGGCCACGCCATGCGAACACGTCCACGTGGGCCCTTGAGTGGAGCGCCATATGGTGCACGAAGCCTGTGATGGAGTGTACCTCAGTGGGCGCGGGGACGCCACTCGAACGCACACACTGGGGCAGAGGGAGCTCCCTTTTAGGCACGATCCGAATGACGGAGATTGGGGAGTGAGGTCGAAATGAAACGGAGACCCCCACCGGGAAATCGGTTTTGCACTCGTGTTCGTGTCGCACGTGCGGGCGAAGCGAAGCTGGTTGCGCGGGCGAGAGGAACGAGCCAGCCGTTGCTAGAGCGAAGCCAGACCAAATGATGCTGTGCCCTCCCCACGGTTCGTCGGGTGGCCCAGGGGTGTCCCCGTGGTGTTCGGATGGCGTCCCGTTGCCAGGGCGAAAGAGAGCCAAATGGTGCTGCGCCCTTCCCCCCAGTTGGCCGACGGTGGCCCGGAGGCATCCCGATGGTGTCTCGATGTTGTCTCGATGGTGCCCCGATGATTTCGAAATGGTGTCCCAATGGTGTCGCCATGGTGTCCCGATGGTGTCCCGATGGTGCCCCCATGGTGTCCCGATGGTGTCCCGATGGTTGTCCCGATGGTTGGCCCGTGAGATCGACAGATAATTAGATATTAAAATCTATGGATAGTCACAATCACAATCGCTATCACGCATCGTCACCAGCATCGTCTTCACACACCGTCCCAAGCTCGCGGGCGCATCGCCAGCATCGTCACCATCACAACCATCGCATATTATCATCAATTGGCTCCCCCCTCACAACCTCCTAATCACCCGAAGGATGATCGGACAGGTGTGCCGAAGAGAGGGGGGCGAAGCCGCCATGCGAGCGCACCCCCTGCTGGCAAGAAATGGAGCTCCATGTCTGGCCACGATCCGCGTGAGGGGTGTACCGAAATGGGCGCGGGGACGCCATGCGAACGCACCCACTGGGGCAATGGGTGGAGCTCCCCTGCGTGGCCACGATGCGCGTGAGAGATGTGCCGAAATGGGCACGGGACGCTATGGGAACGCACCCAAAGGGGGCAAAAAGTGGAGCCCCATGTGGGGCCACGATCCGCGTGAGGGATGCACTGAAATAGATGCGGGGGCGCCATGCGAACGCACCCATTCGGGCCATGGGTGGAGCTCCCTGTAGGGTACGAGGCGCGTGAGGAGTGTGCCGAACAGGGCGCCGAGCCGCCATGCGAGCGCACCCACTGGAGCCACGGTAGGGCTTCCTATTGGGCATGATCCGTATGAGAGGTGTGCCAGACGACTGAGTGAGTCATCTAAAAATGCAATCGAAAACGAAGATGAGGACGAGGAGGAGGAAGAAGCGGAGGCGGAGGCGGAGGGGGAGGCGGGAGGAGGGAGAAGGAGACCGGGCACGACGCTGCGGGTTCAAAACGGAGACCCAACAGCACAGGGGGCGGGGTCGGGCATAAGGGGGGCAGGAGAGGGCGGGAAGGAGACAAACGCCGCGCGGCGCGGCGAGGGCGGTGATGGCCCGACATCGCAGGCTTTGCGAGGAACCAGAACACACCAAGAAGGGAGAGTACAGCACATCGGACAGAAGCAGAGAGAGAGGAGGAGGAGGAGGAGGCGGAGGAGGCGGAGGAGGAGGATGAGGAGGAGGAGGAGGAGATGGAGGAGGAGGAGGAGGAGGAACAGAAGGATGAGGAGGAGGAGCAGGAGGAGGAGGAGGAGGTAGAGAGAGAGAGAGAGAGCTCCCCGCCTCCCCACAAAAAAAAACACAACGGAGGGAGAGGGCGGCCGCGCGCGCGCACGGCCACGGGGGGGCGGAGCGGCCTGGTAGCCCTGCGGGCTCGTGGCCGGCGCGGCGGCCGGCGTGCCCAGGCCCATCTGCGGCTGCGTCGGCGGCCCGGGGCCGCGCCCGGCCGCCGGGGGCGCCACCTGCGGGTTCGTCGGCGGCTGCCCGTCCGGGCCGTACCTTCTGGGAGTCCCGAAGCGGTGCGGTGGCGGACCGCGCGGGGGCCTCGAGGTCCCCCGAGACCTCACCGCACGGTCCGTCACCGCACGGTTTTTGGGAGACCTCGGAGGCCCCTGTCGCCCGAGACGTCCTCGGAGAGCGGCCCGAGTCCCAAAGAGCGTGCGGTGACCCCGAATCCCCACCGACTCGCCCCACGGTGTGGTCACCGCACCGTTTGGGGGCCCCCGATACCTGGGGAGACCAAGATCTGGACGCCTGGAGTGGGTGCGGAGAGGAGGGGTGCGATGCCCCACCACGAATGCTGTCCAGAGCCGACTGCGGCCGCTGTTGGGCAGGCGGCCCCCTGTCGTCAGAGAGCAACGTCCGCGGCGGCGCGGACAGCGAGTCCTGCTAAAAGTGAACCGGAACTGCTGCTGGGCATCGTACCCATGCTTGCCGTACCCGTCTCGATCGTCCCGACAAAAGGCACCGATGCTGCCACTCCCCGGATTCTCTCCTCCCAGGATGTGCTCTGACCAGGAATTCGAAGCGAATCCGGCGGTGACGACGAGGGCCTCCCAGGAGGCCCGAAAGGGGGAAAACGGGCGAAGGGTAGCGTTACGTCGGGCATGCCTACAGGCGAATGTTGGACGAAAAATGAAGAACATGTAATACAAAAAGAAAATACCCCAACAAAAACAGTCCGCGTACTATTTGTTGGCGATTTTGAAGAAATAGTCCGGACGTGCCCGACGCAAGGGTCGCGGTATGGGCAGATTTCGGCGGTGGACAAACCTCCCTCTAGTAAGCCACCCTTCAGTGAAAACGGCCCAGGACCGAAACAGACGGACCCGGACCCGCAAAAATGACGGCCGCGACGCCCCCTCGCGAACCGAAGACGGCCAATTCACGCATCGGCGTGCCCGAGCAGAGGGTCTACATCAACCTTCGAACCTCTTCCTCCTCTGGTGAAGGGGCCCTGGGACACACAAATGAATAGACACAAATAACAGGATTCCCGATATGTTCATATATTTTCTCAGTTTTTTTGCCTCCCCCCCACTTCCCATATTTTCCTATATTTTCTGGGGAATCGACGACTAATTGTGGCTGTGTGTTTTCCCCTCCTCCTCTGGGGTGCCTGCCGGCGGCGGCGGGGCCCAGCTGCGGCCGCGTGGGCGGCTCGCCCCGGCCGGCGGCGGCGGAGCCCAGCTGCGGCCGCGTGGGCGGCTCGCCTCCGGCCGGCGGCGGGGCGCCGCCGAGGCCGAGCTGGGGCCGCGTGGGCGGCTCGCCGCCGGGCGGCGGCGCGGCGGCGGGGGGGTAGCCGCCCACCTCGGGGGTCCGACGGGAGGAAAGTCGACCCGGGCGGGGGGCCCGAACGGAAACTTCGAGCCCTCGGCCCCACGGAGCCCCCACGAATGCCCCAAGAGGCCCCAAAAGCGGCCCCCACAAGGCTTCAAGAGTGCTGCCAGGGGGCCCCCGAGAGACACACCAGGCGCCCCCAAGGGGTCGGCGGAGCGGCGCGAGCCCAAGAATCCACGTCCGGAGGTGACGTGCTGAGCGGCAGCGTTTTCTGCGGATGCTGTAATGCAGTGGATCCAATGTGTCCAATGTTTGCATAATTCCCCACATGCTGTGTTGTGTTACATTATTATGTCTCCCCCCTACCCCCCCTGCAGTCGCGCCACATGAACGGACCAAGATGGCCCCCCCCCTTCTGGGGTCCCAGAAACCTATAAAAAAAACACATGAAAAATCAACAGATTCGGCTTCTTGGGCCTCTTGGGGCTCCAAGAGGGCCTCAAGATAACCCAAGATGGCCCAAAGACGGCCCACCAAGACGGCCCAAGATATTCCCAACGGGGGCCCATGAGGCCCCCAAGACGGCCGCAAGAGAGCCCCAAAAGCTCCAAGGACGGCCCAAGAGGGCCCCCAGAGCGCCCACAACTGCGCCTCCAGAAGCCGAAATCATTGATTTCCCCTTGGTTTTTGCAATATTTGAGCGTTCTCTTTTTTTTTGACTTTCAAAAATCCATGACGGCCCAACCAGCTTCCAGAATGGCCCAAGAACAGCCCAAAGAAAAACCCAAGAGGGCCCCAAGGCGGCCCAGGAGGGCCCCAAAACGGCCCCCAAGACGGTCCAAGAGGACGCGAAGACCGCCCAAGAGGACCCCAAGAGGGCTCCAATGCGGCCGCGAGTGGCCCCCAAGACAGCCTCCGAGGGGGCGAAACCGCGCAAAAGCGCCAAGACGGCCGAAGACGCCCCCAAGAGGCCCCAAGAGGCCCCCAAGAAGCCTCCAAGAATCCGCCCAGAAGCTTCCAAAAGGCCCCCAAAAAGCCCCCCCAAAGGACGCACAGCGACTGCAGTGTAATGTGATTTTCCCCCCTCTGGGCGAACTGCGGCGCAGCGCCAGCCAGGTGGAAGTTGGTCACTGCGGCGCCCATGATTTGAGCCGGTGTATGAAAAGGAGGGTGTATGAAAAGGAGGGAGGGTGTATGAAAAGGAAGGAGGGGGGAGGGTGTATGAAAAGGAGGGAGGGGGGAAAGGTCCCAAAGAAACCCCCAAGAGGCCAAAAGAAACCCCCAGGAGGCCTCCAGGAGGCCCCCAAGAGGCTCCCAAGAGGCCCCGCGACGACGTGACTGCACGTGCTCCGGACGTGCACCCCGCGAAGCGAGAGGAATCTACCCAGACGCGATCGCGTCGTAAAAAAATGTGGACGGCGGGTTTTCGGCCGTTGTCGGCCTCGGGGGGCCCGCCCCGGGCCTCGGGAGCGTCAAAACAGTACTTGGGAGGAAAAGCGGGTACGGGGGGAGCGGTCCGAACCTCAGGGGGTCGGCGTTGGGAAAAAATCACGACGTCGGGGTCTGGGGACAGGAGAAAATCTCAGAGAGCACCAAGGTGAACGTTTCCGTAGTCGGCGTTGCGACATTGGGAGGGAGGGGGGGGAAGGGGGGGGAGGCTCAGGGCCTCTGCTTCATGCGAGTGCTTGCAGCAGGGCGTCCTATGGGGGAGACTCCACCTGCTCGAAAGAGGCGCCCAAAAACAACCAAGGTCTACTCCAGGAGGGGGGAGGGCGGGTGCGAGGGCCCGCGCAAATCGGCAAAACAACGAATAACGAAGTGCGCGCTGGATCCGATCAACTGTTTTGCGGGGGTGTCCGACACCCCAGCGCCGATCGAGCCCGCAGGGGTAGCGCTCGCAATCGACCGCAGACCCTGGAGGCCTCCTGGATGGGGTCCGAGCAGATGGGGTCGGAGGGTCGGGCCGCTTCGCCGATGCATCGGCGATGCTCTGGCGACGTCGGTGATGCATCGGCGCCGTCGGCGCGGAGGAATTCGGCCTCCACATCGAGCCGCATCGCCGATGCCTCGGCGATGCGGCAGAATCGACGACTCCACCGACTCCGACCACAGCTGGAAGGCCTGGAGAACCAAACGTGCACGTTGCACCGCTTCGAGGCAACCAGAGGGTCTGAGCTGGATGAGCCCCGAGAAAATCGCACACGACGAGGGTATCAAGGCGAATCCACTCAACGTCGGTCCCCATCCCTCCGGGGATCCATCTGGTGTAATTTTTCTCCCCGGATCTGTTTTCGACTGCCCGGGGGCTTGAAAACGGCCCCTCGATGCAGAAACAATCAAAAAACATTCTCGAACCCAGAACATCGAACCTGCCCTCCCTTCCTGCTAACGGGAACTAGTGGTGGGCCACCTCAGACCTCCAGCTCCAACGCAGGGGTAGGGTTCCCAAGTAATCGCGGATTCGAACGTTTACTTTTTTGGTGGCCGCATCTGAGCCCTTCCCCCATCCATCATCGGTTCACCTGAACCGATGAGAGGCGGGGGTAATTATAGGGCTCGGATTTCGCCACCCGTTCGACGAATCCCGAACCCTACCCCCGCCACCCATCGAGCTGCCTGAATCGTTAATCGGCGAGGCTAGGGCCTAGTTCGGATTTCGCCGCCGACGATTGTAGAAGAAGGAACAACGCCAGAAACATAGACTTTTGGCGCTGCCCGGCGTGGATCCAAATAGCATCCGCGGGGAGCGCCAATAGTGCATGTTTATGGCGTTTCTTTCTCTTCGAGACTGTGCCGCCCCTCGCTTCAGCACCTGCCGCCGCAAAGACTTCGGTCGGGCATGTCCTCCTACAGGCGGATGTTTGGAAGAGAAGTGACACATATTCCAGAAATGCCCAGACATAGCCGGCAACAGACGAAACATCGTCCCCAAACTACTGTTGGCCCATCTTTGAATATTCCTCCTGCAGAGGGACACGCCCGACTTGAGGCCAGGGCCTAGTTCGGATTTCGCCGCCGACGATCGCGCCGCCCCTCGCTTCAGCACCTGCGGCCGCGTAGGCGGTTCCCCCGCCGCCGCGCCCTGGCCGCGGGCCATCTGCGAGTGCATCTGCGGGGCGGTCGGCGGGCCCGCCGCGGCCGCGGCGGCCTGGCCCGAGCACGCCGCTGCGCCGCCAGTGGGCCGCTGGCCCCGGCAGTGCTGCTCGCAGAGGTGCCGGAGCCTCAGAGGCGGAAAAGGGTACCGCCGCCTCTACCCTCCCTCAGGTGCTGGCATGTGTCGCGTCTCCTCCTTCGGCGTTTCGACATGGGGCGGAAGGGGGAGGGGAGGGGGGGGGGGGTCTGGCTCCGGGCCCCTGCTTGGTGCGACTGCTCGCAGCAGTCCGTCCCATGAGGGAGGCCCCACCTGCGTGAAACAGGCGCCACAGACAGCCGAGGTCTGCTCCAGAGCGGAGGGGGAGGGGGGGTGCGAAGGCCCGCGCCGATCGGCAAAGCAGGGAAGAAGAAGACGACCGCGGTGCATCTTGGCACAGAGGCGGGTTCGGCCTCGCTTCGAGCGGAGGAGGAGGAGGAGGAGGAGGAGGAGGAGGAGGAGGAGGAGGAGGAGGAGGAGGAGGAGGAGGAGGGGAGGAGGGGAGGAGGGAGGAGGGAGGAGGGAGGAGGAGGGGGAGGAGGGAGGAGGGAGGAGGAGGAGGAGGGAGGAGGGAGGAGGGAGGAGGGAGGAGGGAGGAGGGAGGAGGGAGGCGGGAGGAGGGAGGAGGGAGGCGGGTTCGCCCTGGGCCCTCACAGATCGACGCGGCCCGAAGAGTGGCGCAGACAGCTCGGGCCGAAGAGGGCTCGGGTCGTGCCTCCCGCGGCTGCAGCTGTGCCTCGCAGCGTCCGGCGGTCCCCGTCCTCCGCCGCCCGGGGGGGGCCCGTGGTCGCCACGGCCGGCTGCGCCAAGAGAGGTCCTGCTCACCAGGAGAGGTCCAAGGAGCAGGCAGCGGCACCGATACCTCTGCTGCAGAGTGGTAGAAGAAAAAAACGCAATACACATAGACGTTTGGCGCTCCGCGCGGACCTCTTGGCTCCGCGCTGGGGCCCCCCAGCGGCGCCGCCCGGGGGGGGGTCCAGCGCGGATCCAAGAGATCCGCGCGGAGCGACAAACGTTTCTGTTTGCGGGGGCTTTTCTTATTCTCCCTCTTCTTCTTCTTCTTCTTCTTCTTCTTCTTTTTCTTCTCCTTCTAGTTCTTCTTCTTCTTCTTCTTCGTTGATTTCGGCTTCCCCAGAGCCGACGACCGATGTCCACGAACGTGGGCCGCCGCGACTCGTGGGCGCTGCTGCACGCGAGCGCCAGGTCCACCAGGTCCTTGGCCAGCGGCTGCGGCCAGGCGGCCTCCGCCGGCGCGCCGCAGCCGGTGACGTCTTCGGCCGTGGACCCCCCGCGTGGCCCGCGCAGCGGAGGCCAGTCCGCAGGGAACCTCCCACAAGAAACCCAACCCTGAGACTTATGTCGGACCTGTCCCCCGACAGGGGGATTTCCGACGAAAAAAAAAACCAAAATGCTCAAAAATAATCCAAACAGAGTCTGGGAACTATGTTTGAGTGTTGTTTGACCTTCTTGGGGTATTTTGGGGGTATTTTTATTTTTCGTCGAAAATCCCCTTGTAGGGGGACACGCCCGACTTACCTGAGACCCCAGGATGTCCATCGATCTGCGGTGTGGAAACGCCACGCTTGTCATAGCAAAACCATCGGAACCCTGGAAACCCAGGGCGCCTTGGAGGCAAGCAGGGTGCTCCTTGGCGTGGGTCTCCATTGTATCGGTCTTCGGTGGTCTTCGGCCAAGGGGTCTGTCGGCGGGCTTCGGCGGTCTCTCTGTGGCGGCATCCGGCGCTTCCCGCGAGCGCTTCGGCGCGAGAGCTGGGCGGTGGCGTTCGACAAGCGGCTCGTGCTCGAACACCCAACACCAGGGGTTAGGTCGGACATGGCCTCCTGCCGGCGGATTTGAAAAGGAAACTAAAAAAAGCCAACAAATACTCGAGACATCTCCAAAACAGTCGAGACATCGTCCCCTGAGAATGATTGGCAATGCTTCAGGACTCCTGCTGTAGAGGGACATGCCCGAGCTAAGCCTGACACCGTGGTTTCGGGGGGATGGGGCGGCCCTTCCAGAGGAGCCAGGACAACCTCCCTCGCTCTCGATTGTTTGACCGCCCTCGCTTCCAGACGCGGGCAAGGAACGCTAGGCAATAGCGCCGCGCTGCTGCGGGGGGGGGGCGACCGCGAACGTGCGCAGCGGCAGACGATCGGCGTGCCCCCACCGAGCTTCCCCACTCTCGTGGCGCGCCCCCCGAGCCATGGAGCTCCCGAGCACTGTTGATGAGCTTGTTTTCCACCACCACCACCATAAGTTGGAGGGGGAGGTGGTCCTCCTCCTCCTCCTCCTCCTCCTCCTCCTCCTCCTCCTCCTTCCCCCCTCTCACTTATGGTGGTGGTGGTGGAAAACAAGCCCATCAACTGTCCCAGACGCGGCTGGGTGCCGTACCGTACACAGCCAATATCGCGTTTTTCCCTCAACGCCCACTGATCCCCAGTGACGCACGCACCATGGCAACTGCAGACGCATCGAGTGTCCGTGTCTGCGAGACGCAAGCCAACGGTTTCCAGCATCGCACCCGGTTCTCTGGCACTGCATCGCGTGCCTTTCGGCCTTGAACGAATGTGTCAAATAACCTCGTGCGCGCCACTTTGGCATCATACGAAGCGCGTTTGGCACGACACCATCTTGCGGGTCGCCGACGCCGAAGCTGACACGCGACAAGGTGCATGGTACGACTCGGTTGCTCCGGGGGCAGCCAAATACCCTGCCGATTATATGGACAAGAGGCACGAGGCTCGTCAGCAGGCCTCATAGAAGCCAGGGGAGCTGAGGAGGAGGAGGAGGAGGAGGAGGCCCTCTGCCTCCTTGGTATGCGGAATGCCGCCCCCCCCCCCCCGCAAGCAACCCCCCCCTTCTCACTGCGCGCCGCCGAGGCCTGTGCGTCGAGGGCACCCAGCGCGCGGTCCGTGGCACCGGGGGCCTGGGGGTAGGTCGGACATGTCCTCCTACAGGCGGACCTTGCGGGAAAGATAGAACATAGGCCCCCTAAAAAATTGAAAGCAATCTTCAGAAAATAATAGAAGCATCTTCTCCAGACTATTGCCTGACTAGTCTCGAACATTCCTCCTGTAGAGGGACATGTCCGACTCCAGCCTGGGGCATCACGGTCTGGAAGATCGGGTATATGATCTGCCCGGCCTGCCCCATGCACGCGGGCATGGCGTTCATCAGCAATTCCTGGGGGAACGAAAATGACATAAACAAAAAACTCGGAGGTCCGTGCGGATTTCTCGGATCGGCGCTGGGCCCCCAGGCGGCGCCTCTGGCGCCGCCCCTGGCGCGCTCCGCGCAGGGAGCGCAAATCCCCAAGAAATCCGTGCGGACCTCCGAGTCTTTTTGTTTATGTAGTTTTTTTTCGCTCCCCTAATTCCAACAACACCATGCCGAACGCGTACACCTCCGTCTGCTCCGTGACACGGCCGCTCTTGATGTAGTGAGGGCACGCGTAGCCAGGGGTGCCGCTGACCTGCTCGACGGTCATGTTAAGCTTCCCCTTGTTTTTCGCAATGCCCGACAGGCCGAAGTCCGCCATCTTCGCCGTGCCGCTCCTGTCGAGCAGGATGTTCGCAGACTTGATGTCGCGGTGGAAGGCCTTCGGCGTGCTGTTGTGCATGTGGGAAAGCCTTCCGGCGTCCCCCCTTTGGGCCCTTTGGGCGCGCGCCAGCGGGCCATGCGCACCCGCGCACTTGGCGGCGCGCACAGGGGGATAGGGGGAGGGGGGAAGGCTTCTTAGAAGGAGGCTGCTTCTGAGAAGGGGCCGGTTGGCCCTGCATCTGTGGCATCTGTGGCGAAGGCGCGCCTCCTGAGAAAAGCAGGGGTGCTTCTGGGAATCCTTCGTCCCTCCCCCTATTAGCCCCCCTCTGCGCGTGGCTGGCGCACCTTGCCGCTGTGGTGCCCTGCCTGCGCCCCACTCGCTCGCTCCCTCCTCCTCCTCCTCCTCCTCCCCCTCCTCCTCCTCCTCCTCCTCCTCCCCCTCCCCCCCTGTGAATCTCAGATAGATTTCTAGGGTTCTGTGTGACTGGAGCTCCCGACCCTGTGTCCGTCCCGTTCGGGTCCTCGGAGCTCTTGAACCCATGTGCAACCACCCGCACGTGCTCTGTTTTCCTGTCCGTAGCCGTCCGGCTTATAGCCGGGCCAAGAGGCCCCTTTTGGCGATTTTGACATATCGGTCCGAAGCTCAGGGGGACCACGCGAGATAGAAAACGAGTTTCTCTCATCATCAACGTTGTGCTCTCACTTTGGACAGTATATCCAAGCTCTACGAGCCCACCGTTTCTCCTGTATTTCAAGCTCTGCGAGCTCAACGTCTCCGCCTACCTACACAACCCTGAGGATCATATCCCAGTGCTTGTGAGGGTTTCTCGAAGTGTAAGGCTGAAGATCCGTGGAAGACACGCTCCACTGACATTGGTAGCGAGACGAAGTGGCAGCCCACTTCGAGGTCGATCTCCAAATCAAGATGGCGAACGATCAGCAGTCCGGAATCAAGATTCCTGTGTGGAATGGTGAGGCCTCAACTTTAGAGAGTTTCGAGGAAAAGGTTAAGTTGTGGGTCCTGGGCACAAAGAAGGATGACAGGATCTACCTCGGCCCGCGTTTGGTTCAGGCAATGGACGAGGACTCGCAGCAGTGGTTTGAGGCAAAGAAGGTTTCGCTCGACGACCTCGTCACGGAGGACGGAGCGGAAAAGGTCGTGGAGGCGCTCAAAGGAGTTAGAGGCACGGTCACGATGCAGGAAGCTGTGTCAAAGTGGCGAGAGTTCATGCGTGGAGTGCATCGGCATCCGGGTGAAGGTCCAAAGAGATGGGTTTCTCGCTTTGACATCCACTTGAGCAAGATCGGTAAAGCCCTCCACGCAGTCTGTGACGAGATTCCGGCCCAAGGTTTCATGCACGAGTTCATCCTAGGTTTGATCCTGCTGGACGGGACGGGCTTGGACCCGTCAGAGCAGGCCGCGGTGCTGGCGACCAGCGGCCCCAAGGGCAACTCATACCTCTACCAGGACGTGAAGAAGGCGCTAGCTGAGCAGTGGTCGGAGGAGCAGCTGGCATCGCGGGACAAGCAGAAGGGGTACAAGGCCAGGAAAGGCGCTCACGCGGTCTTCGACGACGCCGACGAGCTCGCCGCCTACGCCGAGGAGGTCTACGACGAGGCGTACATCGACGGGTTCGAAGAGGCGGCAGACATCACGGAGTCGGCGATGACGGCAGCCGAAGATCTGATGACCGCTGCGCTCGGTGAAGAGCCTAGAGGAGACGAGGAGCAAGGAGAGGATGCGCTGGCAGCGGCGGCCTCGACTCACGAGACGGACGAGTGGACGGAGACGGCCTTCGCGGCTTCGAGGACGTTCGTGGAGGCGAGGAAGCTGATCAACGAGGTCAAGAACGCCAGAGGCTACTTTCCGGTGGTAGGTCTGGGCGCCTACGATGCGCTCCCGACTCAACCCGCCGCTGGAGCAAGACGCGGACGTGCAGTGAGTCGGGGCGGACCGCCTCGCAAGGGCAAGGGCAAGGATCGAGGCGGAGTGGCAGGCCGCGGCAAGGGTCGTGGTCAGAGTCAGAAGCGTCCAGCAGCAACCCCGAAGGACTCGAACCCAGGGACCAACGAGAAGTTCAAAGGGGCTTGCCTACTCTGCGGCGAGCCAGGCCACAAGGCAAGGGACTGCCCCAATCGGGGCAACGGCGGCGCCCAAGGGGAGAGGCGCCGGGCTTTCAACAGCTTCGTCGGCGCGGCCGACGGCTATAGCAAGAAGGTCGAGTTCAAGGACATCCAGGACGTGTTCGTCGGCACGGCCAACGACGAGGGCGAGTCCAAGGACTGCGACGAGGAGGACCTGGACGAGTTCGTGGCCTTCAGCATGGACGACTGCAAGGGCTACGCACTCCTGGACGGTGGAGCGTCCAGATCAGTCGGAGGCGTGGAGCAGCTGGAGTACGTGAACGAGCGCCTGAGTGAGCCCATGGAGGTCAGCCCGGACAAGAGTCTGGGATTCTCATTTGCTGGAGGCGACAGGGCAGACGCACCCTCACGGGTGACCTTTAACGTGAAGGTCCTGAACGATGAGGCTGTGAGCATCTACGTGCTGGATCGTAAATCCCCGGTGCTGCTTGGAATCGATATGCTGAAGAAATACGGGCTCGCGATCGATTACTTCCACAACACCGTGTACTCTCATCGGTTCAAGCGTGAGATCCCCAGTAGAGTGCTCCCGTCAGGTCACTTGGCACTGAACCTTACTGCTCTGGGCAACGAGGCCTCGAGCACCAGCAGCGAATAGGGACAGCACCCTGGTCGCGACAAAGGGACTGTGGAAAAGTCGTCGTCCAAGTCTGTCGCCACCAGGGGCCCCAAAGACGCCAATGAGCTTCCCCAGATGCTCCAGAAGTTGCTCGAGGTCAGTGTCTCCATCATGGGCCCCTACCCCGAGCTAAGCCAGTCTATGCTACAACCTATTCTTTGGTATCTATGGGAACGGGCGGACTGGAAAGAAGGTGCGAGAGTTAGTCGGGATATATGGGTCGACTGCTCACACGCTCTCGTTCGGGTTCATCATCGGGTTCGTTTTCAGAGATGTGATCTTCGAGATTTTGAAGCTCTTAGTTTAGCCAGCTTATCGGGGAAACGCCACACTCATATGAGTCGAGAAGACGGGGAACACATGATGATCATCGAGAGACTATCGAATAAAACAGCTCGAGAAGTCGAACGTTCGAGATGGGTCGGTCTCACTATCTACCCACGATCCTTGTGTTCAAGAACCGTTTCGGCTCAAGAAGTTCAACGAAGCAGGTCCCAGTTTGAGAGCGCGTTCCAGGCTGATGTCGAAATGCGCCCATCTGGACCAGATGCGTCAGGGGTCCAACCTTGCCGTAGACCTGATCCAGTGCAAGAGCTGCGGGGAGATCCTGTTCAAGCACCACTTCGCGAAGACGAGCGACCAGATGCTATTCCAGTGTGTTCGCTCCCAGCAGTATATCCACCGCCTGGAGACCACGGGTACGGCCCAGCCCGTGGCGCCCAGGATGAACCAGTCGAGCTCCTCGGACAGCGAGGCCACGGCGACGACAACGGCGCCAACGTCAATGCCTCCACCGAGCCCTCCAGGGGCCACCAAGAAGTTGCCCGAGCGCCTGTCGGCCGAGGTCATTCGGAAGCTCACGGACACGGAGGTGCAGCAGATCATCGAGAGCGAGAGGATCAAGATCCGCCAGGAGGAGCAGCAGCGCCTCGCGATGGAGATCCTCCAGAAGGGCCTCATCGACACGCCGACGGACCCGACGGAGGTGGACGACAGGGCCAGGCCGAGCAAGAGGCTGGGCGTCAGCCAGATGCCCAAGGCCGAGTCGATTCCCGTGCCAGAGGATCTGCCGACACCGTCGGGACCGCCGAGGCCAGCCGGAGACCTTCATCTTGTGTGAAGAGCTGTGTATTCGGAGCGCTGATCGCGGCGACGGCGGCTCTGGGAGAGATACCGGGCACCGCCTGGGAGGCAGCCGAGACCTATGGCAGGCTGGACCTCGCAGAAGTGGCCTGTGTGTCCGACTCCAGGCTCACGCACGCGATGATCGGGCAAGGAGGCAAGGCCGAGAGATTCAGCGACTGGAACGGGTATGACTTCTCCACCAGGTCGGGTGCAGAGAAGCTCGTGAAGGCTTTGCGGGTCAAGAGGCCTCGAAGAGTTTGGTTTTCCCCACCGTGCGGAGCAGAGTGCCCATGGCAGAATCTGAACCCCGTAACGGCGGAGTCGGAGAAGAAGCTGATCAAGACCAGACGTATCCAGCGGAACGTCAAATGGGCTATCGGTCAGCTGCTGAACGAGGGTTTCTGCGACATATACCTCGAGCAGTCGGGACGCTGCAGGTCGTGGACAGGCAACTTCAAGGAGCTCAAGGAGTCCATGCATGGCTGCAGGATTCACGGGTGCATGTATGATATGAGAGACGAGCAGAGCGGTCTCCTCATACGCAAGGACTGGCACATCGCGACCACTGACCCGCAGTTTGAGAAGAAGGTTGGGAGGACCTGCCCTGACTTGCATCTGCAGATGCCGCTGGAAGGCGGCACGAGGGTGGCACTGTCAGCGAATTATCCCGTGAACCTGTGCCGGAGGATCGCCCAGCACTTCATGACCAGGGCCACCTCGGACGAGGCCCTCGCCTATCTGGTGCAGGCCCACAACGAGTTGGACGACGAGCTGTGTGCAGCGGGCTACAGGCGCTTGCGGGAGAAGCGGCCCGCCTCTGAAGGACCACCACCGCCGCCGCCGAAGCGCCCAACGCTGGAGCCCACAGCTCCCGAGAGTCAAGGAGAAAGCGCAGGCGGTCAAGTACCAGCTCCTGATCCGGACGAAGCTGGAGATGCTCAAGTCCCTCCAGAAGGCGAGGCGCCCCCGCCGACGCCCGAGTCGAGAGGTCAAGAGCAGTCGATGGGCAATCTCAGACTGCCACTGCCAAGGAGTGTCCAGACCTGTACCAAGGCAGAGTTGCGCGAGCTGGAGGCCATCATCGCACACATCCATCGGAATTTCGGACACTGCAGTATGAGCACGGTCAGCGCCGCCCTCAAGTCTCGCAAGGCGGACCAGAAGATCATCGACCTTTGCAGACACTACGAGTGTCCGTCCTGTAAGGCAGCTCAAAGGTTTCAGATGCGACCTATTGCCAGCTCAGAACCAACGTTACCCGCTCCTGGTACCGAGATGGGTTGCGACAATTTCTATTGGACACATCCTCGACGAGCCTACCAAATTCGTGGGACCCTCTGTGCAGACTATGACAGCCGCTTTACCCAGACGCCGATTCCCTGTCAGAAGGGGGTCGAGGAGCATTGCGGCAACACCACCGCGAAGGAGATGAAGGAGGTAGTGCTGAAGGACTGGATCCACCACTACGGCAAGCCGGAGGTTTTCAGGACAGATCCCGAGGGTTGCTTCAAGCAGGTCGAGCAGCGCGCCTGGGTCTCGGGTAACGGCATGGAGTGGAGACCGGAACCCGGAGAAGCTCACTGGCGAATGGGAGTGATCGAAAGGTGCATCGAGACTGTCAAGGAAATCGCCACTCGCCTCGCCTGGGAGCTACCAGACGACACAGATCCCGCGGACATCTTTCGCTGGGCTTGCGTGGCCAACAACGACCTGATGCGACACCAAGGCTACAGCCCGATGATGCTCATGATGGGTCGCACCCCGTCGGGGCAAGGCCTGGAGCAAGTGGAGAATCCTTCGGTCCTGAGCGCAAATGTGGTGGACAAACACTTCCAGGAGGTCACGCGCATCAAGGCGGCTGCCTACAAGGCGTGCGTGGACGTCTACCTGTCGGAGAAGACGAAGCGTGCCCTGCTGGCCAAGACGAGGCCGTTCAAGACATGGGAGCCTGGTGAGAAGGCACACTACTGGCGAGGTGCGAAGATTAACAGTCACAAGACTCGACCAGGTATCGCTGGTCGATTTCACGGTCCCGCCACTGTCTTGATGCAGGAGCGCGAGATGAAGAACGGAGTTGCGGTGCGTCGAGGAGTTGTCTGGCTTGTTGACGGTGACCGTCTCGTACGAGCAGCGGCCGCTCACCTCCGCACGACTACGAAAGCGGAGCGGACCCTGGAGAGCATCTCCGCAGGGAGCTCCGACCACTTCAAGAAGATTCTGCAGGAGTTGACGAAAGGTGCTTACGACGATGTGGTGGATCAGCCTGGTCCGGGAGAATGGGACGATATTCCAGAAGGAGAGAACGTTGAAGTACCAGACCCACCCAGGATGACAACTCCAAGAAGTATGGCATTTCATCAACCTGATGATCACGAAGGTGAAGCGGGGTCGGGCTCGAGTGGCCACGAAGGGGCCGCGCCTGAGGTCTCACCGCCTCCTATGCCCGCGCAGAATCCAGCTGAACCGGTACCGACGCCGACCAGAGACCAGTTCGACGAGAGCGAGCCACCACCAGAAGGTTACAACAAGCGGGAAGCCAGTAAGGAACCTTCTGAAGATCCAGATCCCAAGAGACATCGCGCCGACTTTGCTGGGTACGTGGGCCATCTGTGCCAGAAGGCGTCGACGCTTGTCATGCCCGAGCTCGGTCGTGCCGAGCCCGAATCTGAGGGCAGTGCGAATTGGGTCTCACCCTGGGAGTATGATCAGAAGACGAAGGCTTCCGACCTGGTGGGCTTCGTGGGCGAGGACGAGCCGAACCTCGCGATCATGATCGGCTTCGCGCTGGAGGAGTCGGATATGGATCAACTCAGCCGGAGGCCTGACAAGGCCCTCGCCGCGATGGTCAAGCAGAACAAGGTCGAGGTGAAGCTCAAGAACCTTACGGCAGAGGACCGTGAGAAGCTCCCGATCGCGAAGGGTAACGAGATCAAATCTTTCCTCAAGTATCGAGTCTGCGAGGCAGCCAGTCGTGCAGGAGTACACCCTGGAGCCCTGATGAAGATGAGATGGGTCATGACAAGGAAAGAGACGGGCGACCTTAAGGCTCGTTTGGTGGTTCTTGGCTTTACCGATCCGGGACTTGGGCGAATCAAGACCGCTTCCCCCACATGCAGTCGTCGAGCTCGCCAGGCTTTCCTGGGCGTCTCCGCCTCGATGGGCTTTCAGGTCTTCAAGGGTGACGTCAAGGCAGCTTTCCTACAAGGCGATCTTGGAGAAGAAGATCGAAATGTCCTGGCCGAACCAGTCAAGGAACTTAGGGAAGCCATGCGACTCGAGCATCACCAATGCGTCAAGCTCAAGAAGGCAGTTTATGGTCTGGTGAACGCTCCTCGCAGATGGTGGACGAGAGTTCGCCGGGACATGGCCAAGCTCGGCTGGGTGGAGTCTACGACCGAACCTTGCCTGTGGTGTTTACGAGAACCTGGAGGACAGCTCATAGGTCTGGCCGTAGCCCACGTGGACGACCTCATGATTGCGATTGACCAGCACTCGGACCTTGCAGTGGACGTCCTCCAGCAGCTCCATCGAGCCTATGAGTGGGGAAGCTGGGAGACTCAAGATTTTGTTCAGTGCGGGACGCGGATTCGACAAGAATATGATGGACGCACGAAGTCATGGGGCCGTATCCATCTTAACATGAATGAATACGCCCAGGAGCTCGTGGAGATAGATATTCCCGCACATCGACATCGTGATCCCGAGCAGCCGGTGACATCGTCAGAAGCTACCCGTCTACGAGCCGCCTTCGGTCAGCTCATGTGGTTAGCTACGCAGGGCGTGCCCCTCATCGGGGCAGAGCTGTCACGGCTGCTGGCTTACAGTGATTTCGCCACGGTGAATACTCTCCTGCAGGCCAACAAGCTCATCAGGCGCACCAAATTCGAGGCGACCGAAGAGCTCATCATGGAGAAGCACGCGAATCCGTGTGCGGTCGGCTATTCGGACGCAGCCTGGAATGTTCGACGTGATGGTTCTTCACAGGGTGGTTTCTTGATCTTTCTGACTGACTATACCTTGATGCAGAACCGAGAGGCGCCGATCTCTCTGCTGGCTTGGGCATCGGCGAAGTTGCCGAGAGTGTGTCGGAGCTCGAGCGCGGCCGAGGTACAAGCCGCCAGTGAGTTTTGTAGGCTGCTGCTGAGCGAGATCCTGCTGGGACCCGCGCCTCTCAAGCAGTGGACTTCAAGCTGTGCGAAGATTTCTGGCGCTTTGGTCCCGGACTGCCGCGGCGTGTTCGATGCTCTGGATCGGTCCGAGAGCAGCGCCCTCGGCATGAAAGACAAGAGGAGCGCGCTGGAGGCCCAGGCCCTCAAGCGCGGCATGGCCGTCACATCCACATCCCTGAGGTGGTGTCACAGTGGGGCGCAGCTGAGCGATTGTATGACCAAGAACTCGGAGAAGGCTCGCGCCAGCTACAACCTTTGGCAGCAGCGAGGCACCTGGAAGTTGATATACGACGCTAATTTTATTTCCGAGAAGCAGAGAAGACAGCGAGGACTGCAGACACTAGACCAGGCCACATATTTCGCAGTTGATGACGACGATGCCTGGCAGTTGTACACGGAGGATTTGGAGATCAAGGAGGAGGCAGATATTCCCCAAGACTTTCGTCTTTCGGAAGCGGTGAGCGTGATGAGACATGATGCTACCTCCGTGCAGTAGCCTACGCCACCTAAGGGGAATATTCTGTGTGTACAGGAGTTCTTTCTCACACCCCCTGAGCACGAAATAACTTTACTATTTAAAACAGCCGGCCGTACAGATGGTTCGGGGCATGTGAATCTCAGATAGATTTCTAGGGTTCTGTGTGACTGGAGCTCCCGACCCTGTGTCCGTCCCGTTCGGGTCCTCGGAGCTCTTGAACCCATGTGCAACCACCCGCACGTGCTCTGTTTTCCTGTCCGTAGCCGTCCGGCTTATAGGCCAAGAGGCCCCTTTTGGCGATTTTGACATATCGGTTCGAAGCTCAGGGGGACCACGCGAGATAGAAAACGAGTTTCTCTCATCATCAACGTTGTGCTCTCACTTTGGACAGTATATCCAAGCTCTACGAGCCCACCGTTTCTCCTGTATTTCAAGCTCTGCGAGCTCAACGTCTCCGCCTACCTACACAACCCTGAGGATCATATCCCAGTGCTTGTGAGGGTTTCTCGAAGTGTAAGGCTGAAGATCCGTGGAAGACACGCTCCACTGACACCCCCCCTCCTCCCGCTCCTCCTCCCTCTCCTCCCCCTCCTCCTCCCCCTCCTCCTCCCCCTCCTCCTGCTCCCCCTCCCCATCCTCCCCATCCTCCCCCTCCCCCTCCCCCTCCTCCTCCCCCTCCTCTTCCCCATCCTCCTCCTCCTCCTCCTCCTCCTCCTCCTCCTCCTTTTCCTCCTCCTCCTCCTCGTCCACTGCCAGAGGCCCGACACTCTCTGCCTGTCGGGAGGCTGCGTGCGCCTCGCGGCCCTGCAGAGCAGAGCGGCCCTGCAGGGGACAACGACGGGGGGGGGGACTGCCACAGGAGGGGAAGCATCGGCGACCTGGAATCGGCCATACCTGGACGCGGAAAATTCGCACTGTTACTCTGAACGAGCTAGCCGATAGAGGAAAGAAGCCTTTTGGTAATTAAAGTGCTGCTGCTCTGTTGCGCGACAGCCGCGCGCGCTATTGGGCTCGCATTTCCGCTCCTCCGACGGGGGCCCAGGCGGACATCGTGTTTTTCTTCCACCCACAACTTGTGTTAAGTAATCGTAGGAAAAAATCGCCTCTGACATACATCGCCGATACATCGACGATAGGCCCCCGATGGTGAATCCGCACGCTCCTCGGCAGGTTGGGGCTGTCGGGCCCCTGTCGGCGATCAATGGGCGATTGGGGGTCGATGCACCCCCCTACGCCTATCCCCCCCTCATCGACAAGAAGGAAAAAGGCCATAAACACAAACTATTGGCGCTCCACGCGGGTTTCCTGGATCTGCGCTGGACATGACCTTTTCCCCTGGCGCGCGGAGCGCGCCAGGGGCGGCGCCGGAGCTGGGGGGGCCCAGCGAGGTTCCAAGAAACGCGCGCGGAGCGCCAATACTTTCTGTTTGTGGCATTTGTTCTTCTTAGGAGCGCGCCAGGGGCGGCGCCGGAGCTGGGGGGGCCCAGCGAGGATCCAAGAAACGCGCGCGGAGCGCCAATACTTTCTGTTTGTGGCGTTCTTTCTTTCCTTCAAGATTTTTTTCTTCTTCTTCAAGATGGTGCCGCCTCTCGCGGTAACGCGCAGGCGGGCAGCCCCCCCCCGGCCGCCGCGCGATTTGTCTGTCCACGGCGCAGGACTGTCCGGGCCCCCACATCCTGGGCGGGCGACCTTCGGGTCGGGCGAAAGGGGGGGATAGCAAAGGGGGAGTTTGAGAATCAGCTCACGTGGCTGATTTTCCCGGCGCCTCCCGGCGCCTCGAGCGGCCATGTATCGAGGAATGGGCCCCTCGGTGAGGCCGAAACCAGCTGCATGCAGCAAATTTCGTAACCCCCCTTTTCCCAATCCCCCCCTTTCGCCCGACCCGAGACCTGGTGGGGCCCAGACACCACCGCCCAACGGGGGTGGGGCTGGCTGGACGGTGCACGTCGGCCAGAAGGAGGAGGCAAAAGCATGAAGTGGGAAGGCGGATAGAAAAGCAGATTGGCCTCGGGCCCTCCCAGAGAAGGACAAGACACGGCAGAAGCATATCGCGGCTCTTGAGGTAGGGAGGAGCTTGAATGATTTCGGAAACCCAAAAAGTTGACTACCTACCAGAGACCACCCAAATCCAACCCGAAGACCCGAATTTCGGGTTTGGGGGGTACGGGCTTCATATGTGTGTTTTCAATGTATGTTCGCCGACCCCCCCCCCACTGGAAATGGCGGGCAAATCGGGGCCTTCGGGTTGAGTTTGGGTGGTTTGGTGGGCGTTGAACAATAACTAATTTCAACGACCGGCGTGCGCGGCCAGGAGACCACCCCCCCTCAAGCTCCCCGGCACCCGGGAAATGCCTGACGGACGCGCGCGCGCAGTCGAGCTCCTGGCCCCTTCTGGACCCAGAACTGCTCGCGCCGTGCGAAACTCGAGCAGGCCGACTACAGAATGGACCCACCCCGAATTTTCAACTGCCGCCGAATCTGCGAAACAAATGCATGCACCGATCAAAGATGTACCAACCATTATTTGCCTTGCCCGGTAGATTCGGCGACCACATGGCTGCTGGAAGGACTCGTCTCGAAAAGCATATACCACCACGGAACTGTCTCGGCCGTCTTCTAGAGGACAAAGAACTATGCACATACACCGGATCTGGCCAGGCCCATCCTGAGCCCAGGATCGGTGCATACGCCCTCCTACCTTGGCCAGAAAGGCACATGCACCGATCCTGGGTCAAGGATGGGCCTGGCCAGGACCGGTGCATGTGGATAGCTCTCTCCGCCCGATCTTCGGCCTCCTGGAGCCGTCGCGCCGAGCTCTGGGACCGCCAAAGGACGGCCCGCTGCGGGGAGCGCCGAAGCTTGCAGCAGCTCGGTTGCAGGGTGGCTGCGGCCCACACGCGAGGCGCCTGCGGGGCGCCGCCCGGGGGGGGGCCCAGCGCGGATCCAAGAAGTCCGCGCGGAGCGCCAGAAGTTTATGACTGTGGCGTGGTTTCTCCTGCGAGATCAGCACCTGCGGCCGCGCAGGCAGCTCACCCGCCGCCGCGCGATTTGTCTGTCCACGGCGCGGGACTGCCCGGGCCCCCACATCCTCTGGGCGGGCGACCTGGTGGGGCCCAGACACCACAGCCCAACGGGGGTGGGGCTGGCTGGACGGTGCACGTCGGCCGGAAAGAACAGGCAAAGACATGGAGTGGGAACTGGCAAAAAAACGTTAAGATTATGTTTGTGGCGTTTTTTCTTATTCGATTCGCCACGGCTCGGTCTCAGACCGGCACCGCCCTCTCGCTCCTCCTTCTCCTCCTCCTCCTCCTCCTCCTCCTCCTCCTTCTCCATTCCTTTCCTTCTGGATAACTCCTCCCTCTCGCACCCCGAGGTCAGTTTTGAGGGCGGGCCAGGCGTTTCGCCTGAGACTACCTCACAATTTATGACACTGAAGCTTAACAAGTGATTACAACTTCACAAATGGAGTGCGGGTCGTTTTCAAAATTTGGCTCTCCCCTTAGCGCCGCGCGCATTCTTTTTAAAGATTTGCAAAAACTTCACGGATTGAAGGCGGGTGGTTTTCACAATGTGGCTCTCGCCTTAGCGCCGCGCACATTCGTTTTCAAAATTTGCACGAGCTTCACAGATTGAGGGCGTGTGGTTTTCACAATGTGGCTCTCGCCTTCGCGCCGCGCACATTCGTTTTCAAAATTTGCAAGAGTTTCACAAATTGAAGGCGGGTCGTTTTCACAATGTGGCTCTCGCCTTCGCGCACATTCGTTTTCAAAATGTGCAAGAGCTTCACGGAGTGAGGGCGGGTGGTGTTCGCAATGTGGCTCTCGCCTGAGCGCCGCGCAAACTTGTCTTAAACATTTGCAAAGTTTCACGGATTGAGGGCGGTTCCTTTTTAAGATGTGGTTCTCGCCTTAGCGCCGCGCAAATTCTTTTTGAACATTTGCAGGATTCTTGCGGAGTCCCATGATCAACGTACCAGAAATGGTGTTTTCAAAGGGTTCAAGATTATGCGGGCGCAACAGCTATGTTGATTCACGGTGTTGAAGTCCCAGAAGTGGCGTTCTGGTAAAATTCTGGGTAGTCAAGACGCAGCAACCAGGTTGATATGTGGCGTGAAAATCCCGAGAACGATATGTTGGCAAGCTTCAGGATCTTCCAACTGTTGTCTTCCATCGAGGCAGTTCCTTCAATAGAGCAGAACCGTTGTAGGGGCCTATGAAGAGGGAGCTTGGAGGGAGCGTCGTCAACCACTACATCGCTGATGACCCTTAGGTTTCCCCTCCTCCTCCTCCTCCTCCTCCTCCTGCTCCTCCTCCTCCTCCTCCTCCTCCTCCTCCTCCTCCTCCTCCTCCCCCCCTCCCCCCCCTCCTCCTCCTCCTCCTCCTCCTCCTCCTCCTCCTCCTCCTCCTCCTCCTCCTCCTCCGCCTCCTCCTCCGCCCCCGGCCGACCCCGCGCCGGCGCCGCCCCCTGGGAGCCGCCGGGCCCGCCGTGGCGGGGGCGGGCGGCGGGCGGAGGGCGGCGCGCCCGCACGCCGAGTCCAGCGCCACCCACAGCCTCGGCTGCGGGGCAGGCGCGCGGGGGGGGCGGGGAGCGGGGGCACGCTATGGGGTGAAGTCGGGCGCGTCCCCCTGCAGGGGGATTTTGGACGAAGATGAAAAAAAGATTCCAGAAGATGCCCCAGGGATGCCTCAAGATACTTTAGAAAAATAGTCTCCGGGGGTACTTTTTTTGTCTAGTTGTGAATATTCCTCCTGTAGAGGGACCGGCCCGACTTCCCTACAGGGGCGGGGGGAGGGGGCACGTTGCCTTGCGGGGGGGGGGGGAGGGGCCACGCTGGGTGAGGGGCGGGGCGGGGGCGCGCAGGGGGCAGGCGGGGGCACGCCACAGGGTGGGGGGGGGAGAGGGGGCGCGCTGGGGGGGAGGGGAGGGGGCACGGGACCGAGACCCCCTCGCGCCGCGAAAAAATCACAATGGGAGGCGTTTCGCTGTCTTCGGCCTCCTGGGGCCCTTCCCAGGCCTCGGGACCGTCGACAACAACTCGGGAGGAACAACTGGTCCCCAAAAACCGGTCTCTGGGAAGGGGTCCAGACTTCTGAAGGGCACGTCATAAAAAAGATCACCACGTCGGGGGTCAGGGGAGGAAAGGGCACGCTAGGAGGAGGGGGCACGCTTGCGGGGGGTGGAACGCTGGGTGGGGGGGGAGGCACGCGTGGGGGAGGCAGGTCATGGGAGAGACACGTCACTGGACAGAATCCTGGAGGCCTCGCGGCAACTTGAGAACCGATGTACGTCAGACCTGTGTCGGTGTCACGTCGGATTACGCCAGCGTTAGGTCGAATGTACGTCGGATGTACATCGGACTTACGCCAGAGGCATCGCCGCCCCAACGTCGACCCATATGGCGCGCAACAAAAGGTACCCGAAGCTGTATTCATAAAACATCAACCTGGGATCGGTGATACATCGCGGATAGATCGGCGATAGGCCCCCGATAGCGGACCCGCACGGTCCTGGGAGGAACAGGCTGTTGGGCACCCATCGGCGGTCAATGGGCGATCGGGGGTCATTGCATGCCCCCCAGAGCGTGTCCCCGCCTAACTAGAGGCCTCCCAGATGGGGTCCGAGTAGATCGGGTCAGAGGATCGCGCCGCATCGCCGATACCTCGGCGATGCATCGGCGATGCATCGGCGATGCACCAGCGAGGCATCGTCGACGTCGGCGATGCATCGGCCACGCCGACGTCACGCAAATCGGGCTGCACATCGAGCCGCCACGGCGATGCATCGGCGATGCGGCGCGATCCTCCGACCCCATCTACAGTCGGGGCGTTGACCCAAGGAACCCTGAATCAGGAACGGGGCCCCTTTTCCCCATGAGTTGAACTTCGATGCCCCATCGAAACCCTACGCGAAACCAAAGGCGAGCCACAAGACAACGAAGGAACACCGAGCCCCTCCCCAACGAAAAGGGCTCCTTCCTCAGCGCCCCGACTGTACTCCGACCCCATCTCGTTAAAGGCTTAACGACTTCTGCCGTCCTTCGACTCGCGCTGGAGCGGCCGCGAAGTGCTCGAACTTTCCCTGGAGATCTCTGGATTTACCTGGATTTACCCAGATTTATCTAGATTTACCTGGATTGACCTGGATTTACCTCGATTTATCTGCATTTACCTGGGTTTATCTGGCTCGATTCTCACAAGTCGATTGGCGAAAAGTCGACAAGCCCTTAGGGACCATCCAAGAGGCCCATGGACTCACGCTGCCCCCCCGAAGACACCCCTCCGGGGGGAGGAGGACGTCCGGGCGGGATCGCCCCTCGAGGCTCGGCGCCCGGGGGCCCGCGAGAGGGTGCCCTCTCTTGGGCGTGGCTTAATGGGGGGGTCACAAATGGGGGGGTCAGAAACGGTCCCCTTTCGTGCCCTCTTCGGGCCCCTCCGGACCCCCAGGGGGCTCGTTTAGGTACCGTTTGGGTACCTTTTCGGACCGCACTCGCCGCCCCCCCATTTATGACCCCCCCATTACGAAACGCCCAACTCTCCTGCCTCGGGCCTCCGGGGAGGCCTCCCGCGTCGCCCCGGCGACGCTCCCCCTCGAGATGCTGGCCGAGGCGCTGCCAGCCTCCTCTTCTGCCTGTTCGCTGCCCCGTGGCTGGGGGAAGGAATGGGGAAGGAGCGGTTTTGCCTCCAGGTCCAAGGCGACGTCTCCTGTGCTGGCAACACGGCGCCTGCGCGCGAGCCGAAGCCAGCAAAACGCACGAGGAGCCCGAAAGGAAGACGAACCGAATCCCGCGAACCCGCAGAAGCCCCTTTCCCGAGTGCACAGCCCCCTAAGAAAGGACGCCCCCTCCAGGGGAGGACCGGGAGGAGGGAGGAGACCGGTCGGCGGAAAAAGCTGCGCCGCGTGTTTGCCCACGCCTCAGGGGCCCCAGGGTCAGAGACTGGCCGGGAGGGGCCCCCAGAGGGGGGCGGGGACCGAATTCGACTCGTTCTGGGCCGCTTGGCCGGGAGGAGAAGAGGTTCGAGATTTGGGTTGGGTATTCACCCCTGTCGGGCCTCCAGGAGATGTTTGTTTGTTCTCTCTGTCTCTGTCTCTCTCGGCCTCAATCCTCCTCTTCCATCCATCTTGCCCCCCTCTCTGGTCCCTCACTTCTCCCACATCCTTTTTCCTCTCTGTCTCTTTTTTGTCCTTCCCCATTCCTCGTCCTCTTCCAGGGGCTGCGCCACCTACACGTGGCATGGAAAGCATTTAGACCCCACGAAGGGGGGCTCGATCGAAGCCGAAGAGGGCAGGTACCGAGAGCTCGGGATATGAATGACGAACGAAACGCAGGCGGATACCAGCGGACAAGATTCAACTCATCGTTGATGTCGTCGTCGCCCCCGCGACCCACCCCGCGACCCCGGACCCACGCCCGCGAGCCACGCCCTCGACCCACGTCTGCGGCCCACAGCCGCGACCCACCCGCACTGAAACCTGGAAAGAAGCGAGGCCCGAAACAAACGGTGCAAAATAAACAAAAGAGCAGTGACGCCTGCGGCGGGCTGGTTGTGCCGAAGAGGCAGCGTCGGCGCCTGTGGCGGGCCTCTTCACGTTGGCTTTCGAGGTTCGCGGCCCGTCGACATGCAGACTCGCGACCCAACACCTTGGAGGCGGCCTTGGGATGTATGCTCGAGGGACCCCGAGAATCTCTGCCGAGAAGGCGGGATAAACGCAAAGCAGCTCAAAAACCAATCCCGGGGGGGATCCAGGACCAGCGTTGGGCCACCTCATAACCCCCAGCGGGCCCCAAGACCCACACATATCGCTTGGCCAATGAAAAAATCGGCGCCTGCGGCGGGCCTCTCTGCGATGGCCGACGGAGCCGGCAGGCCCTCGTAGGGCAGCCCAGGCGCCTCCTCTCACTCTTGTCTGCATTCGCGGGAGAGTGAAATAGACATGTATAAGTATATAAATGCATACACATACACATGCATATGTACACGAACAGTTGCACATTCTGTCATACACGCAGCCACCCATACACAATTATGTATATATATATATATATATACGAGTACTGTAGACATGCATGGACACTTGCGTGCACATATAAAAATACACAGCACGCACACACACATACCCACCAATATATATATATATATATATATATAAATATATACATACATACATACATACATACATGCATGCATGCATACATGCATGCATGCATGTATACATACATGCATACATACATGCATGCGTGCGTGCGTGCGTGTATGCATGCATACATACATACATACATGCATACACATAGATATACACATGTTTGCAAAACACTGCGTGCGCTGGGGAGCTGTTACGTGTGGTAAAAAGGAACTGGGCCTGGCCGTCGGTATGGCGGCGATGTTGTCACCGTCGCCTCCCCGTCGCCGCCTCGTCGCCACCTGTCGCCTGGGCCTGCGGGTCGGTCTGGCGGCTACGTTGTCGCCGTCGCCGGCCCGTCACCGCCCAGTCGCCGCCTCGTCGACGCCTCGTCGTCTGGGCCTACATTGCTTCGCATTGCTTTGCATTCATTGCTGTAGCGTTCTTTGCATTGCATTGCATTGCATTGCATTGCATTGCATTGCATTGCATTGCATTGCATTGCATTGCACTGCTTCGGATTGCTGTGCAGTGCGCATTGCTTTGCATCGCCTTGCAATGCTTTGTTTTGCTACGCCTTGCTGGTCATTGCTTCGCATGGCTTTGCGTTGTTTGGCATTGCTTTGCATTTCTTTGCGTTAAATTGAACTGCCTTGCCTTGGAACTGTCACGCAATCATGTGCATTGCCTTGCACTGCGCTGCGGTGTTTCGAATTGCGTTACATTGACTTTCATTGTTTTCTTGGCGTTGCTTTGTACTGTTTTGCTCCCCAAGCAGTCCTAGCATTTGGGCGTTCTTAGTTGTTCGGCTAAGGGAGCTGGGCCTACGGGTCGGTCTAGCGGCGGCGTTGTCGCAGTCGCCTCCTCGTCGCCGCCTAATCGCCACCCGTCGTCTGGGCCTTCGGGTCGGTTTGGCGGCTGTGTTGTCGCCGTCGCCTCCCCGTTGCCGCCTCGTCGCCACCCGTCGCCTGGGCCTGCGGGTCGGTCTGGCGGCTACGTTGTCGCCGTCGCCGCCCCGCCGCCGCCTCGTCGCAACCTGTGTTTTAAGCCTGCAGGTCGGTCTGGCGGTTGTGTTGTCGGCGACGTCGCCCCGTCGCCGCCCGTCGCCGCCTCGTCACCCCCCCCCCGTCTGGGCCTGCCTTGCTTCGCATTGCGTTGCATTGTCATGCTGTGTTGTGCAACGCATTGCATTGCATGACATTGCATTGCCTTGCGTTGATGCGTGCGCATCGCATTGCATTGCATTGCATTATGGTGCGCCATTGCGCTGCGTAGCATCGCTTGGATTGCTATGCATGCAATGGTTTCGTTGCTGTGCATTGCGCTGCATGCGTTGCGTTGCATTACATCGTTTTGGATCGTGTTGCACTGCTTGCATCGCATTGTAATCGCACCGTTTTGAAAAATCAGTACATTGCGTTGTTTGGCATTGC